CAGAACGCATGCAAACTGGACCTCATACTGGCCAAGTAAACTTGTCTCGTCGTTCATATTTCCCCCCATCCTCCGCACAGACGCCACTGCAGCCTGTTTTACAACGTCTTCGTCCTTACATGCGAAGTCAGCTGTCGACGTGCTGTTTCTGACGTTCTTTAAGCGCAAAAAATTGGGCACAATCTTCTCGGTTGAGGAACCCCCGCGAGAGGAAGAGGAAGGGCTTTTCCCTGCTATAGGGGAATCCCCAAACGCGCGGGATATTTAAAATGTAGGACAATGAAAAGAATAAAATAATTCCCGTGAAAGTGGTGCAATGCCGCTGTATTGTACGACATGGCTGTTCTATTAAAATATAATGATCCCATAGGTATATACAAACTATTTACATGCGAAAAGCCTGGTATTTCTGGTATTTAAAAAGTTACTTGTTCTTTTTTTTATACTTATCTCCAAACTTTTCACGCCACTGTTCGTAAGACGCGCCCAGTAGGGCAATACCAATTTCCATAATATTGTCTGTGTTCACCAGTTCTATTCTGGCCACATTTAGAACACTTAGCAGGGGTCGTTCGCTCTTTATAACGCCGTGGAGAAGCACCAGCCGATACTTCTTCGCTCTGTCCTAGAACCAGTTTCAGTGTAGAGCTGAACACCAGGTGGATCTACGATACAGCGGACGTGAACACTGGCTTTTTCCCACTCATCCCACTCACGCGGGTTGTTCTTCGACAGTGAAGGGCGAGCTCGCTACTTCTGATGTTACGAAGGATGTCCTTCTCGTCCTGGCTGCATCCCCAGCTTCTCCAGCTCGTTCTTCTTGGCTACCTTAAGACGCTCAACGTCCTGACTATCCCAATGGAAAATACACTGAGACAGTCTGATCATAAACATCTTGTGCAGCTGATGTGGTTCTGTGGAGCACCCCGTAACAATTCGCCGGATGAAGTGGGAGATGTCCAGTCTAACCAAAAGGTCCCCCCATCCAGGAAAAAGATGTTTTGTTTTCCCCGAGCAACAATCCCGATCAACATACATCAGGACAGGAGGATCCACTCTTGCGTCAACGTATCGCTGGACAATGCCACTTGCCATCTTGCTAAGCCCATTTCTCTCCTTTGCGGTCATCACGCTGACCAGTATCTGCCCGTGCTCCTTGCCAACGTTCGTCATCCACTCGGCTGTTTTAGCAGCAGGACCAGCCAATTTTTTAGCAACCTGTTTATTAGAGAAAAATTGGAGGGAACAGTTTATTTAACATTAATAATATATTATGCACAATAAAACAACGCACATAAATTTAATAGTTGGAGACGTCTTATGGCCTATACAAATACCGCTGAGTTTCGTAATTGTTTAAATATTATATATAGTGGTATTTTTAGACCTTGGTGGAGTCCATCTTCAGAATCCTGCCAAAAACACTGGTGATGATGACTTTACTTCGTCGATGCGCAGCAACACATCCTGGCAGTAAACCGACAACAACCAGCGGAACTTTGGGACGGTTGCCATTGGTGGTGGTTCGCTCAACGCTGGTCGGGTGACAAGGCCGATGTTACTGGCGTTCTGAAACGACTTGCACTGCGTCAAGTTAGCCAACGATTTTTGCAGATACCTTTCGTTGTGTTCTTCCACGATGGTCTTGCACAGACGATAAGGACCATTGCCGAGACCTTTGTCGCGCAACAACCTAATTACTCGAAGATCACACGCATACTTGTGTGTAACAATTGCAGGAAACTGATTCCAATGGCCCAAATCAAGCTGGGAAAGGATTGGTGCGCTCCATGGAATGACCTTTTTTTGCAATGCGAGCACTCCAAATACTCAGTCGCCATGTAGTACACACAATCCACATCCAACACTTGACGAACCACCGGGTACAGACCTGCAGATGTGAGCTTGTGGTTGTTACACGTCTCCCGAAATGGACACACCAGCCGATACCGCCATAGCTTCTTTGGCATCCACAGAATCAACCGATGACCAAAGTACCCTTCCGCCAACTGTTAGCCAATGGAAATTCTACAAATACATAGTATTTTAATTTTTATTTAATATAATTATTTTAATTTTTTATTGGTTTTTTTTTAATATAAGCTAATTTTATTTTTAGTTGTAATTCTATTTTTCAAATTTAATTTTTACTGATTTTTGCAATTTTTCATTAATACTTCGAGAACAAATGCAATTTCCTATTAATATCATTACAGTCAATTTACGCGATTCTGATTCGTTAATTGGGTTAAATTGGACAGTGTGCCATTAATGTTTAATTTGCACAGAAAACATAGCCTTTATTCCTCCTACACAACAGCAATCACGATCTGTGTACACAAGTTCAGGAGGACTCACACCAGCTTTCTCGTAACAGTCAACGAGACCAGTTGCCAGCTGTTGTAGACCGTTACCTTCTGCAGCAGTAAGCACACTCGCGAACACGTGGCCAAACTCGTTCCCAACGTTGGTCGCCCAGGCAGCAGTAAAAGAAGTCTTCCCAGCCAGCTTCTTAGCAATCTTAACAAGAACAATACACACAGATTACAAACTGATAAATTACTATTTTTGTAAAAATTGAAACTACTTGAAATAATTGAAATTATTGTATTATTAAACTAATTTAAATTAATTGAAACTAGATTATTATAAGTACTCAATGTAGGAAGGAATATAATACATTAATTGCACGGTGAAGGAATCGAACCTTCACAATAAAGGCTTTCCTTTAAAGCAAGCACGCTGACGTATGTGTTATAAGATGTGATCCAACATAGAGTTTAATACGGTTTGGGAAAGGAAAGCTTACCTTTTTTGTTCAGTCAATTTTAAGGATTCTTCCAAAGACAGACGTTATCTGAGCCTTGACTTCCTCGACTCGGGACAGGACATCTTGACAACAGCTTGTCAAGAACCATTGGGTTTTGGGACAAGAGTTCTCTCTGGGGGTTTTCCGGTGTCGACAAAGTCTGCATCCTTCGATCTCTAGCCTTGGCGAAGTGCTGGCAGTCCGAAAGGTATTGGGCACACTTTGTCAACCAGGTTTCCTCGTGTTGTTGTTCTAGTTTCCGGTAAAACTGAGTCGAGCTGTTACCCAGCCTCCTCGTCCGCAGCAAGCGCACAACCCTAACGTCGCAGGCATACTTGTGTGTCATGAAACTGAAGTTCATGTCCATCATCCAGTTGCTTAATGACTGCTGGACTCCAACTAATCAGTTCCCTGCCACATTTCAGACGCTCCAAGTACTCTGCAGCTAGAATATAGTACCCATCTATATCTAACACTTGCCTAACTCTGGTGTACACACCGGCACTTGTTAAAAATCAGCAATGTACTGTTGTATGATTGTGGAGAGAATATACATATTATTATTACAATATAACTCAGTGAATATTATAAAAATACAAAAACAAATGACAGGAGAACATTTACACGAATATATTCGTAAATATACAAAGTTTTATATCTTACTTTTCGCTTGAGTTTGCGCTGTCTTCTTTAAGCGTTCACTCTTCTTCTGCTGAACAACAGCTTGACCATCAGGGAAGCTGGTGAGATATCTTTTAAAGGCATGTTTGCTGACAGACAACGGTGCTGTCGTTCCTCTTTCAGAACGCATGATGTCAACAAGCTGTGCCAGCATTGTCCAAGATTCATTCTCCACTGTGATCATCTAAAGATTACCGTTTAAAAGACTAAATTGGAGATATAATTGGCACACTCAGCCTGTTCTTCCGGCCTCTTTATTGCTTTAACTTCGGCCTCAGCGTTCTTCTTCACGGTCAAAGCATCTTCACAGCGACCAAACACAGAATTATTAACAAGCTGAGATGTCGAACGACTGCCCTTCAAACTTCTCGCTTCTTCAATATAACTCCGCTTCAGTTCGCCGTTCGAGACAGTTGATGTGATTTTCGCTTTCGTTTCATTCAGCCTGTTGATCACGTCTCGCAAGTAGACTGCCAGAAACCAGTCTGGTTTTGGAATGGCTGGGAGGGGTGGGATGGTCTGAGCAGCACTCGGAATCTTGAACAGGCCCTTTGATGATTGTATTTCAAAGGGTTCCCGCGCCTGCAAGAACTGCAGTGCCCTGTTCATGTGGTGTTCCGTGTGCTGCTCTGTCACTTGTTTCTTCAACTTGGTAGATGAGTTTCCAAGTGTTCTCTTATCACATGAGCTACATTCCAGAAAAGGTGCTGCTAATAAAAGGTGGTGCATGCATGTTCTGCTTTTATCACCTGTAGGTCAAAACAGCTGGGAAGTAGCTTTGGTGTGCCAGGCTAAGCTGTTTCATTACCATGTTCGACCATGAGGCAAACTTCTTTCTGCAAAATTTGCACTCTAGGTATTCCGTGCCAAGATAATACCAGCCATCGATGGCCAGTACTTTCCGGACAGTCTTGTAGAGGCCAGCCTGAGTGAGGTTGACAATCTATTGAGAAATTATGAGATGATAGGTATTTAATTAAAATAAACATGCAGTAGATATCACGATTCGTTATATATTTTTAACTATGCAAACCTTTGTTGCCCCTTGTCCCTTCTGCTTTTCTTGGCACTCGTCGCTGCACAGCAGTTTGACACCCCAGATTTTCTGAGGTGCCCAAAGGAAGAATGGCAGGAGAAAATATGGATCGGGCGGAGGGGTGGAGTGTTGTTGTCTTGGCTGGGGTGGGTACCACCACATCTGCAGTTTGGATACAAGTTCGGCTCTGCCTGAATAACATAAATTTAGACGGTGGTAAAAAATAATATCCTCATTGCCACAAGGAAAAAATGTGGGAGGAATACATATTTACAGACATACCAGTCTTCGGATTACATGTGTACAGCGACTTGCTCAACCATTCCTGCTGAAGGATGGGCAGCGTGTCTTGCCATGCCTTGGGCAAATGTATCTTCTAAAAATATATTTAAAATATCCAAATGACTACTTAAACACCAAAAATCACTAAACTTGGAGCTATAAATGAAGCTTGGAGTTAAAATAGCACTGACTGGGAATCGAACCCAGATCTGCTGCTTGTATAGTAAGCAGTAGTGTTCGCCATTACACCATCAATGCTTTTGTACCAAGCTGAGGCATACTTTCATTGACTATTTAATAAAACAACTCACCTTCTCCAATGCCCTTGCTTTCAATGGAGCAGCTGTGGCAGGAACAGTCATTGGCAGTGAGGTGGTTTTCTTTGCAACGCTTCTTTTTGCTCTGCCTGATAGGCAGTCTTCACAAGCAACACATCTTCTAGCTACTTTTCCTTCATTTTCTTCTCAATGTAACGTTTCAACTTGTCCAACTGCCCTCCAGGATGTGTAACATTGCACTCTAGGGTAGATCTTACATACCTTTTGTGCTTATTTTAAGCAACATTGCTGTTGCCGAAATTTAATAGCAGCATGCGTATAACTTTTAAAAACAAGAAAAGTGTTCCTTTGAGAAGTTGTTTGTGTGTAACCCAATATCACAGACTTGGTAGGTTCCTAACTTAAGCAGCCATACACAAAATATATCATTTAACACCCCCCCATCCTCACCCTGCATATAACCACAGATAAACAAACTCGCATAAATCCTGTTAAACTCATATAACCACAGATAAATTCAAACTCACATAAAATGTAGGACTACTAAAGAACATACAAAACTTTACAACAAAGGTTCTTTGAATAGGGCCTCCTTGTTTTCCCATTGCGGGTCACCCACACGATCAAAGGTTTCTCGCCATTAATATGGTCATCTGAAATAAAAAATACATACTGTATAGCATATTATGATTAATACAGTACATTGAACGATTTGATCACAAGACATGCATGCAAAGTCTCTACATGCATGGGTTGTATAAAAAGTAGATAAGAAACATGGCAATGCTGTCCTACCATTGTCGGCAACTGTGCACTTCTATTCAAGTAATGCATGTATATAATTACTGACTAGTATGTTTTAGTATAGTTGTAAATAGTATATTTATATGAACTACAATTCACTATTAATAAATGATCGGATTAATTTCAACTTGAATAAAAATTAACCATTCTTGTCGGTATATACATGTTGCAGTTCCTTAACAGATCTATCAGAAAATAAGAACCGGAATGTTCTTGTTATGGCCTCTGAAGAGGTGACGGTCTTCGGAAGGTGGCCACGATCAGTCGATCTGACAAATATGTGAATATTCTCGTACTGTTTTATAGCAGCTAGGTAAAGTTGGTGTACCTTTTATATCCATGTGCTCTTTTCATTCATCCAACGAGCAATCTCATACATGCATGCATATGATTTCAATTGTTCTCAGTTATAATAAAGGAATGTGGTAATTTCTAATCAAGTATGTAGGGTTGCATGCATAGTCATGAAGACATAATTTAAGAGATTAATGCTATACATGCATTAATTCTTTAAATTTGTAGCTTTACAATACACTCGTTCGGTATCACAGCGTTCACAACATAATGCAACGTAACCGGTTAATTTTTCAAAGTTTGAGTTTATTAGTTTGTATGCGAAATTAAAGCTTTTGAGAAACATTTTTAAGCTTTGCATATATGCAATACTCTACTATAAGTGATATGCATACTCTACTATAAGTGATGCAGTAACGTGAGCGATAGAGATATAGAGAACTTGTTCATTCTGATGCTCTTATTGACTTAAACTGGGTGAAATAAGTAGGTAATCTTACGGTTCGCAGAATAAAATCGGTCTGCACTTCCCTTTAATGGGTGAAATAGGCACTTGTGAGGGTAAGAAGAGGCTGCAAATACAATTAATTAAAAATATACATGCAGCTTGCGGTGACCAGAAGGTAAATTCCCTTTACAAGCTTAGAAAAAATATATTAAAATGTAAAAATAGCTAACATATACCAAGAAAAATTGAAATATTTTCAAAATGTATGTAATATGAAGTCAATGGAAAATGTTATTATATAAAAGCGTGTAAAATATTTCTTCGGAACGTTTTAATCAAAATTCCGTTTTCTTACTATCAATTTTCCGTTTTTATGACTAAAGTAAAGCACATGCTGACCATGCACTTTATTGAATGCGATACAAAGTAAAGCAATGTTTCAAAACTCGTGCAACTCATGGGAGGATTGAAACGATCCTCAGGTGGGTCTTCACTCGCTTTTATAAACATTTGAAATTCGCTCAAAATATTTTAAATATTGTTAGAACTTAACTATAGTCTAAAGGCCGTTTTCAACTTCAATCGTAACGTAACGTAGCATTTTTTGTGCCGAAGTCATTAGTTCCGCTCCATAGTAGTCGAGAAACAAAGAAATACGCTTCGATACGATAACGTTGAAGTGGAAAACGGCCTTAAGGATTTAGTTTTAATAGAAATCAGGTCTAAAACGAATTAGAGCTGTGCAAACTCCAGTTATTTTAGTTCCGGTTCTGGCAGTCAAAACTCCGGCTTCAGCAAGCAAGTTTTAACTTCCATATTTAAAGGAAATTTCATATTTAAAAGTAGAAGCAGGCGAAAGTATTTCAGTGTAATTTCAGAATTTATTTTATTCCTTTTTGAGCCTTTTCCTTTCCTTATCAAATATACATGCTTCGGTGCTTGTTTATTAAACAATGTTTTGAATAAGGTAAAACAGTATTTTCGCCCAAAATACATCGGGGTCAGCGGATTTTTGTATCAAAAGCGATAGCAATGCGCTTGCAGAATTTTCGAAGCCACAAATCGGATCGGAGCAAGTAATTAAACTTTATAGTAACTTAAATCATTTAACTTACATGAAATAATTTTTCATATTTTGTCTGCCGGTGTTTTCCAACACGGCAAAATATGCAAAAACGGCAAAATATGCCGGAGCTCCGGCGCACAGCTCTAAAACGAATTTCCAAATGCTACTTGTTGTGTTATTATATGATACAAATAATGAATGTTTATCAATCGCGTCGTGCGAACGAATTCAAAACTATTATTTATTGCAAAAATTAAATTGATGTACAATGATGGATAGTATGCTTTTCTAGTCAATACTGCAAATGTTTATGCATATCAGTAAAAATCGTGTTATAAATATGAATGCTTTTCAAAAGAATATGTAAGAATGTTCTGAAAATGTACTATATTTTGCAAAATATTTGATGTTTTAATAAAAATCATGGTTTATAACAATCTGAATTGACTGTTGCTCATTCTATTTTATTCTTTGTTTGCAATAACGTTATTTTGGGATTTCAGTTGACGGGCAGGTATAACAAATAACCGTTATTTTAATGTATTGATCGCGATAGTTTACTAAGAAAGAGTTTACCAATGAAAGGCTTTCCTTTGAAGTCTTTGAAAATTGATATAAAAAAAAATATGTCGTCCCTAGCCATTTCAATTAGAAGCTAAATATATGGCATTACAATTCACAAAGAAAGAGAAAGTTACTAACGTAACAACATTTTTTGGTATAAAATGGGTAATTGGACAAGTACTGGTGCAAGACATTGTGTAGCCTAAATAATGAGAGGACTAGTATTCCAAAAATTGTTGTTCTTAATTTCTTAACTCCGACTCCTGTGATGAACATGTACGTAAAAACCTAGGGAAATTACGATTCTATAGAAACTAAAATAGGTGGAAATTTTATGGGACACGGTAAAAGGCGAGAATAAGGAGCGAGAGATTAAAGTTGAGGAGGAAGACAACCGCTGTCCGCGTTTCGACCTAAAGATGGTGTAACATTTTCACTGTCCGTCACCGTATTCTGTTCACTATTTTCCCTGAGCTGTGACAGTGAATTTAATTCATCAACATCAATGAATGTTGTCATTGGTTCCGTTTGGTCTTCGCTCATGGGTTCCTTCACATTTTTCTCAGATAGATCTTCATCAAAAGACACGTGAGTCCGTGACTGCCGAATCTTTACTACCACTCGATTCAGTTCCAAGTAGGGTTAGGTCATATTGCAGGTCATTGTCCTTGGTTTGTCATGTTACTTTTTACAAAGAAAGTATTGATTTTCGACTGGGATGAATCCAATGATTTCATCACTGGATGACATTTTACTTTTTTACCATTGTGAACAAATCGAGAATGCACCTCTTTATAATCACTGTCGATTTCCTTATTGCATTCCTCGCACCGAACGCGATGTCGGTACTGTCTTTTACGAGATGCCATTGTAATCTTCTAGGCGATTGTTTCTATAGCGATCGTGGGTTAATGGTCCTAAATCAACAATTTTTTAATGATTGTAAGAAAATCGCGCACTTTTATGTCTATCTAAAAGTCTAAAATTAGTCGCATTAGGTCATTGTACAGTATTTGTACGGTTACGTCAATGTCAATTCTACTACGTCATCAGCTATGGTCGTTCAAGAGTTGCACGAGAGAGTGCGACGCACGCGCAGAAAACCAATTTGTGAACGCCATCGTGTGGAAAACACAGAAAAGTATTTTCGCAGTTTTTTATCCAATTTTAGACAGAAATGTAATGTCTCGGATTTATCACTTAAAGACCTTTCTGAAAGGTTGACAACGTTGTTACTACTCCTAAGTGGACAACGATCTCAAACAATACACTTATTCTCTATCGCAAGTATGGAGCTTTCTCCAACCCGATGTGTTTTTCAAGTGCAAGAAAAAGTGAAACAATCTCGAGTAGGTTACCATATTGCTCCTATAGTGTATGAAGAATATCCGAAAGAACCAGCCCTCTGTATTTTAATGCACATCAAGGAATATATTAAGCGTACACAGAAGCTTCGCGATCCGGAACTTTCTCAACTATTAATTAGTTATGTTAAACCAAATAAGCCAGTGTCTCGAGAAACTATTGCTCGTTGGTGTAAGAATGTACTTAAATCAGCAGGAATTGATACCAAAAGATTCAGCTGTCATAGTACTCGGGCGGTATCTACTTCATTAGCAGCAGAAAAATCGGGCGATATTGACAAAATCATTAGCTCGGTTGGCTGGTCAAACGCTAAAACTTTTCAGACATTTTATAAGAAACCTGTGGAACAAACCTTTAACTTGGGTACTATCATTTTGAACTCATTAAATTAACTGTTAGATGTTATATACATTGTAATGTTGTTTTACAAATACATATTCTTGTTGTTGTAGTTGGTTTTAATTTGGGAACTTTAGTTTTCTCTGACTCCATTACTGCTGTGAAATCTCGTGCAACTCTTGAACGACCATAGCTGATGACGTAGTAGAATTTAAAAATTAAACGAAACTTACCTGTAAGGTGAAGTTTGATTGTAATTCTACAAGTCATCAGCGGGGAGTGAAAGAGTTGCAGGCCCTGCCCTATGATTTTCCCACCCGACTCTTTCACTCCTGCTAATGGAGTCTTGTCTACTGTGAAGTCTGGTTTTCTGCGCGTGCGTCGCACTCTCTCCTGCAACTCTTTCACTCCCCGCTGATGACTTGTAGAATTACAATCAAACTTCACCTTACAGGTAAGTTTCGTTTAATTTTTAAATTATAATATATAGTATCTATTTTCAGTGACTGGTGTGTCATAGCCGCGGTGCCGCCCAGGGCCAGAGACTGTATTTATAGCAACCAATGCTATCAAGGGAGATAAACATTACTGACCCGATTGTTACTACGCACACTTATACCACACCTTCGCAATATGTGCAGCTATATACTATATACTTATATAGTTTACTGTCGTTCCAATTGAAGTGTTGCTCAAATATTGATTCAATACATTACATCGGGCTGACCAATTCATTTCATCAAGTTCCTCGAGATATTCATACACTTCCTAGTATAATTGTAAACTTCCTGTTGAATAGTTTGAATGCACCAATCACCTTTGTTGTTTGTGCAACTAACCAATCATAAATAGAAATGAAGTGACCAGAAATGATCAAATACTTGGAATTGGCTCTTTCACAGGAAGTGTATGAATATCTCGAGGAACTTGATCAAATGAATTGGTCAGCCCGAGGTGAATTGGTCAGCCCGAGGTAATGTATTGAATCAATATTTGAGCAACACTTCAATTGGAACGACAGTAACAGTTGTATAGCCTACATTATGCTAGGTAAAACTGCTGAATATAGGCATGAATACAGTAGTGACATTTTATTAGTAGCCATACCAATTGTTCCTTCGTTCTAGTCGTTTCTGTGGGGATTTACGTCTGCAGTGGTATGTGCGCAAAAATCAAAACCAAATCCGATTAAGTTAGAGCACTTGACCTTTAATAAATGTTAACCTGACGCAACATGCTTGAATCCAGCTATGCGATCTATGATAGTAATAAATATACACAAACGTTGCCATTACAGATTTACAGTGCATGATTGAACCTGTAAAAGTTGAACTTGTTGAAATAATACTTCTGTTCCGCCTTATGGATCAATATATTCGTCTAACCATGCACCAGACCGTCGTTGCCCGAATGACAAGACAATTTTTGCCCAAATAGATAAATTCTCAAAAAATTGGGGAGCCCCCCCAGCCCCACCCTCGAGTACGCCTATGGTTTTTCTTGCTACAACCATTCTGATAGTAGAAAAATCGTCCACAAGTTGTTTGATTGCCCGTCATTTGGATGAAAAGTCGCGTGATTGCAAACAAAGAATTATGGGATTTCATACAAGACTTTTATAAATCGATTCTAAGGTATGCATTGGAACAAAGGGCTTTATACGTTTCATAGCGCCAATAGCAGCGCTCGCCTTCTTGCATATCATTTCAATGTGACTATCCCAATTAAAGGGTTTCATCTAGTTTTACTCCTAGGCACATTTGTGTAGCAATTCGTGATATGGGTTTTGCATTAGCCACAACGGGTTCCTCACACATTATATTATTAAGATTATACGGGGAGCCAATAAACATCATTTTACATTTTGATGGATGCATTTGCAGCCTATTTTCTTTAAGCCAGTTACAGACATGGGCAAGATCTGAATTTAAATTTACAACAAGTTCATTTGCATCGTAGGAAGATGAAAAGATTTGAGTATCATCCGCGTACATGCATGGATTAGTTGATTTCAAACAATCGGGCAAATCATTAATATATAATAGGAATAGCAGTGGTCCCAGTATAGATCCCTGGGGCACTCCACAGGTGATAATTTTATTACTAGATAATTCTCCATTAACATTACATTGCTGTTCTCTATTTGTTAAATATGACTCAAACCATTTTAATTCTACGCCAAAAATTCCAAATTGCTCATTCATTTTATTTAACAAAATGCGATGGTTTATAGAGTCAAATGCCTTTTTGATATCTATGAACACAACCCCATTTAACTTTCCATTGTCCATAATTTCTAGCCACTCATCACACATTTGGATGAGGGCAGTTACAGTTGAATGCTTTGGACGAAATCCAGATTGAAACTTTGACAGAAGAGAGCTTTCAGACAAGTATCTATATACTTGACGGAAAACTTCCTTCTCAAAGGCGTTACTCACCACCGGTAAAATTGAAATAGGCCGATAGTTCTCACATTGTCTTTTATCCCCGGATTTAAATATTGGCGTAACACGAGCACGCTTCCATTCATCTATATATACGCCTGTTGCAAGCGACAGATTGAAGATGAATGTCAACGAGGGTGCAATTATGTTTGCACTGCAGTGGCGAAGCCAGCGGTCATGCAGGTCATGCAGTGCATGACTAAAAATTTCCCCCAAAATGTTTAAAAATCAGTTCAGTATAATTGTTTACAATAGAATTATACTTTATCTTTGCACTTCTACGCCTAAGTATTTTATTTATTATTTTGTTTACCCAAATCAGTGGTCTTTAGGTCGATATTTTCGCTAAATATTCTCGTATGTTATTGATTTTGGCTTTGTTACCTTGGCAACTGAGCGGGTCCTGCATATTTTCACATGCATGACCGGTTGCGTAAGCGCGTGGAAAACGATTGCGTGTGATTGCTGCGTGGTTTGCTCGCTGTGTGTTTTGGTCATGCATTTTAAGAATTTCATGACTAGCTATATTATTTTATATTAGGTTTGTTGGTTTCTGATTGGCTTACGACGTTCGCGCACGCGCAATGCGCCTGTTTTTGACGCCTTGGTCATGCAATGTTCGATTTGCATGACTAAACGGGCAACACAACCTGATCACAGCCTCTTAGCTCGAAGCTTTCAGCCTGAATGAACACGTCTTCAGGTCATTCAAGCATGTCGACTTCTTCTTTACTCGAACCTAACGATATTGTTTGGGAATTAGTGAAAAAACCATTTTCTGCTCAGCAGAATATTATTGTTTATCAAGCAGAGACCAACGCCAGATCTTTGGACATGCCCGATCGGGAAAGGTTTTCAAATGTCGTGGTATTCAAAGAAAGAATGGTTTAGGCTAAATAAGCTATTAGTATTATTTAGTTATTGTTATTTTGTCTTGAATATTTAAGCTTTCAACCCGAGCATATGCGTATCGAGGCTCTAGTATAACACTATAAAGTGCATGAAATACAATCACGGCAATGTCGAGGTCAATGTAGTAAACAATGTAGTTCTATAAATAGCGCTGCAAGGCTTATACATTTCAACACGCAACACAAATATTTTAACGATTGTGATTTAGCAACATATTTCAATATATATTGTTAATTGTATTTACCATTTGGTACATACTCCCCGTAAACTGACAGTAAAATTTCAACTCGAACATGTGATAATGCCTAATTCCTTTCCGTATCTAATGTTGTAATAAATTGGGCGATTAATTTTAAATTAAGGAAATTGATCAAGGCTCATGCGTAATGCGTTATATTTTCCAAGTGACCAAGTCTGCATATTATAGTAATTATACCTATATTCTAGATTATACTGACTGTATTAGCAGCTATTTGTCATTATGTATCGAAAAGAAATACACAATTGCCGGTATGACTATAATTAGCGGAACTGCAGACCACAGATTTCCTATTTTTGTGTTGATCTTCATTATTGTTGTCTGAAATATGCCAAAATATCCTGACATCTTTTCCTTCATTAGGTCAAGCTATTTTCCGAAATTTGATGCTCAGATTGCTGCAAATAGCGTTTCTGGGAGTCTATATTTCAAAAATTGTCCGGGGGTGCATGCCCCCGGACCCCCCTAGGATGTCTCACGCCTTCGGCGCTCGTTTGCATGACCACTCACACGACGCTGGCTTCGCCACTGGTTTGCAGATCATTTTAGAATTTTAGCAGGAATTTTATCAAGACCTGTTGCTTTACATGCTTTTAGGCCTCTTAGGGTCGAGGCAACACTATCAACGGATATTGGAGAT